GACCCTTCTTCAGAAATTTCTGAAGAAGGGTCTAGGCCCGAAACATCAGCCTTCCTGCTCCTCTGATGCTGCTTGGCCTGCTGTGTTCATCCAGCTCTACACCAGACTTAAAGTAGTTTTGTTGGTGCAGCCTTGATGGGCCAAAGGACTTCTTCTGTACGCAGGATTCTATGGACTGAATGAATTTTTGCTTTGAACAATAACATCCTTTTCGGAACCCCTCTTTTTATTCTGTTCTATTTCTCTACTACATCGCACTTCACAATTATATAATAGACTCCTCTGATCTACTAAGGACATACGCAATGCATTCACTTAGAAACTCAACCATACTTTGTCTTTATGTGATCTTTTTAAACCAGACTCCTTGCTTTCATTATTTCCTTTTATTATTATGTTCATAAAAGATGTCTGTTTCTCTCTGATGATATACATTAATCTATTCTAATACCATTCTATCTTTACCCCTCACATTTCACTTTGTAGATCTCCTCTAATTCTTGAATTCACCTAGGCTCTCTATTGTATCGTGAACTTGTCCATTATCGTATAGCTCATATTTTTTCAATGTCATCTTTTGTTCAATCGGGGGCATAAGTACCAAACACCACCTTTACTTTTATGGAAAGGTGCCTAAATAGTATACAAACCATTTCCTCCATTGGTCTCCTATTGTTCAATCACTGTGTTACCGACCAATTGTTCATTCAAATTCACTTCAGCAAGATAATTTTCAATGTACTGAAATTAGCTTTCCTCCAGTTGAGTTTTATTACGTATTATGTTCCTTGTCTTTTTCAATAACTATTGGAAACCTGTCCCTGTCCCCCAAATGTTGCCTCAACGAAAATATGCTCTCTATTTGCCCCATTTCATTTTCTGGAAATACACCCAATGAGTCTTCAAGAACAGACATTAGCTCATAGTCACTGTCGGAGCGCGAAAGTTCCAGGTGTAACTGATCAAAAATATACAAAGCTAACATAAGTTAGCGAAAAGTCCGGAATATATAAAACATATTGGAGCATACTATCACATGCTATAAAAGCCCTTCACTAGACAAAGATATGGGATAAAGTAGGAAATACACTAATCTCATATGTTTATAGACCTATTTAACCTTTCTATGGTAGTACATAATAATGTCAAAAATATTACAGAAAAAAATTATGGCTAGACCCAGACTCAAGATTCCTGCAAGTCTGACTGATAATGGAAGGTAATTTGCCGAAGTCAAGTTCTGAGACGGACATGAAAATTATGATCATGAATACTATAGCCAATAACAGTCTTTTCATCACTGAACCTTATAATCAATAAGATACAGCATTATCCCAGTAAAGGGAGTTTGTGTTCACACCAGTTGTTTGGAGGATATAGTCCATATCACATTATATTAAAAAAATGCAAACTCCAACAGAAAATGAAGAATCTAAAACTGGGGTCAGTTTCAGAATAAAAAGGTCAGCTATTTAAGACTCACACGAAGAAAACTTTTTCACGTATTGTGTATCTATAGATCTCTACCCAATGCTCAGCCATTGATTGTAGACGAAGGGAATTCAAGATAAATCATCAATCAAGATCTTGTTAAATGGTAATGCAGACTTTAAGGACCAAATGGATTATTCCAGCTCTTATAGCTATTGGAAAACAAATCAAAACACTACAAAGCAGGTTATGAGGAAGCTTCAACTCCATTGAAAATTAGGAAAAAAGTTAAAGAGGAGAACTCAAGAGTTGTTAGTAATGGAGGTGACAGGACTCAGAAAGAAGGTGCAAAAACTGGCATAAGGGCACTTTATCTGAATGTTCAGAGCATACGGAACAAGGTGGATGAGTTGACGGCGCAAATCATGGCAAATAGGTATGATTTAGTGGCCATTACAGAGACATGGTTGCAGGATGGTCATGAGTGGGAGTTAAATATCCAGGGGTATCAAATTGTTCGGAAGGACAGACAGGAAGTTAAGGGAGGTGGTGTCGCTCTGATTTTTAAAGATGATATCAGGGCGATAGTGGGAGATGATATAGGTTGTACTGAACAAAAGGTTGAATCCATTTGGGTGGAAATTAGGAATAGCAGGGAGAAGAAGTCACTGATAGGTGTGGTCTATAGGCCACCAAATAATGGGGTGGGCAACAAACATAGAAATAGCTAATGCATGTAAAAATGGTACAGCAATTATCATGGGGGATTTTAACCTACATATCGATTGGTCAAACCAGGTCGGTCACGGCAGCCTTGAGGAGGGGGTTCATAGAATGCATCCGCGATAATTTCCTTGAACAATATGTAATGGAACCTATGAGGGAGCAAGCCATCCTAGATCTAGTCCTGTGTAATGAGACAGGAATAATTAATGATCTCACAGTTAGGGATCCTCTCGGAAGGAGCAATCACAGTATGATTGAATTTAAAATACAGATGGAGCATGAGAAGGTTAAATCCAGTACCAATGTCCTGTGCTTAAACAAAGGAGGCTATGATGGGATGAGGGAGGAGTTAGCTAAGGTAGAATGGGAGCAAAAACTTCATAGTGGGTCAATTGAGGAACAGTGGAGGACTTTCAAAATGATTTTTCACAGGGCTCAGCAGAAGTATATTCCAGTGATAAGGAAGAACTGTAGGAAAAGAGATAGTCAGCCATGGACGTCTTAAGGAAATAAAGGAAAGTATCAGACTGAAAAAAAACACATACAAAAAAGCAAAGAGTAGTGGGAAACTAGTAGACTGGGAAATCTTTAAAGGCCAACAGAAAGCCACAAAAAAAGTTATAAAGAGAAGTAAGATAGATTATGAGAGTAAACTAGCTCAGAATGTAAAAACAGGCAGCAAAAGTTTCAATAAATATGTAAATCGTAAAGAGTGGCAAAGGTAAACATTGGTCCTTTAGAGGATGAGAAGGCCAATTTAGTAACTGGGAATGAGGAAATAGCCGAGGCATTAAACAGTTATTTTGTGTCGGTCTTCACAGTGGAAGACACAAATAACATGCCGAAAACTGATGGCAAGAAGGTTATAGCAGGCAAGGACCTAGAAACTATCATTATCTCAAAGGAGGCAGTGCTGGGCAAGCTAATGGGGCTAAAGGTAGACAAGTCTCCTGGCCCTGATGAGATGCATCCCAGGGTACTAAAAGAGGTGATGGGGGAAATAGCAAATGCACTAGTAATTATTTACCAAAATTCACTGGACTCTGGGGTGGTTCCCACAGATTGGAAAACAGCCAATGTGACGCCACAGTTTAAAAAAGGAAGTAGACAAAAAGCAGGTAACTATAGGCCAGTTAGCTTAACTTCGGTAGTGGGGAAAATGCTTGAATCTATCATTAAGGAAGAAATAGCAAAACATCTGGATATAAATTGTCCCAATGGGAACACCCAGCATGGGTTCATGAAGGGTAGGTCATGTTTAACTAATTTGGTGGAATTCTTTGAGGACATTACTTGCATGGTGGACAATGGGGAACCTGTGGATGTGGTGTATCTGGATTTCCAGAAGGCATTTGACAGAAGGTGCCACACCAAAGGCTGCTACATAAGATAAAGTTGCACGGTATTACAGGTAACGTATTGGCATGGAGAGAGGATATGTTGACCAGTAGAAAGCAAAGAGTCGGGGTAAATGGGTGTTTTTCTCGTTGGCGGCCAGTGGCTAGTGGTGTGCCTCAGGGATCAGCGTTGGGACTGCAATTGTTTACAACTTACATAGATGATTTGGAGTTGGGGACTAAGTGTGGTGTGTCAAAATTTGCAGATGACACTAAGATGAGTGGTAGAGCAAAGTGTGCAGAAGACACTGGAAGTCTGCAGAGGGATATAGATAGTCCAAGTGAGTGGGCAAAGGTCTGGCAGATGGAGTACAATGTTGATAAGTGTGAGATCATCCATTTTGGTAGGAATAACAGCAAAATGGACTATGTTTTAAATGGTAAAAAATTGTAGCACCCTGCTGTGCAGAGGAACTTGGGTGTCCTTGTGCATGAATCGCTAAAAGTAGGATTGCAGGTGCAACAGATAATTAAAAAGGAAAATGGAATTTTGTCTGTCATTGCTAGAGGGATGGAGTTTAAAAACAAGGAGGCTATGCTGCAGCTGAATAGGGTCCTGGTGAGGCCACACCTGGAGTACTGTGTGCAGTTTTGGTCTCCTTACTTGAGAAGGGATATACTAGCACTGGAGGGGGTGCAGAGGAGATTCACTCGGATGATTCCAGAGTTGAGAGGGTTGGATTATGAGGAGAGACTGAGTAGGCTGGGACTATACTCATTGAAATTCAGAAGAATGAGGGGAGATCTTATAGAAACATATAAGACTATGAAGGGAATAATAAGATCGAAGCAGGGAGGTTGTTTCCACTAGCAGGTGAAACTAGGACTAGGGGGCATAGCCTCAAAATAAAGGGAAGCAGATGTAGGACTGAGGTCAGGAGGAACTTCTTCACCCAAAGGGTTGTGAATCTGTGGAATTCCCTGCCCAGTGAAGCGGTTGAAGCTACCTCGCTGAATGTTTTTAAGGCAAGGCTAGATAAATTTTTGAACAGTAAAGGAATTAAGGGTTATGGTGAGTGGGCGGGTAAGTGGAGCTGAGTCTCAAGAAGATCAGCCCTGATCATATTAAATGGCGGGGCAGGCTTGAGGGGCCGGATGGCCTACTCCTGCTGCTAGCTCTTATGTTCTTATAAGAGGCAAATATGCACTTAAGTTTGAAACTAAAACTTGGAATACTTAATTTTAATAAATTTTAAACAATTTAATCTAATCATGATCTGGTATCTTTTTCCCAAACAGAACTTTAAGTTTATTTTTTTTCTCTTTTATTTGCCCCTAACCCCAACCAGAAACAAGAGGAAGTCTCACCACGGCCTCTGGATGGATTTGGGTTCCGGTAGTATGGTAGCTGCTTCCTCTGCTGTCTTTGGAAAACCTTTTTCTTCTTATTAATATTGGGAATTGGCCTTTTCTTTGCTGCTGGCATGGGAGTGTTACGCCTCAACACCTCACCTCTTTTTTGTACCTGTTCTACAATTTCAGCCCCCAGCAGGTCGGATGATGTCATGTTTGGATGTTCTTGTGGTTTAACTGGGGTTTTGAACTTGAATAACTGTAACAAATTTTCAGCACGAAGCCCAGTCAACCAGCGATGAGTCTGTCCAGCGCACAGAATTGATTGATGGCACGAAGTTACTGTTGACTGCAGTCTCTCTTTCAGCTGCTCTGTAGTAAAGGAATCTAATTCTCCAGATAACTCATCCATTTCATACTTCTGTATGGCAAGTAAAAGTGGACTTACAATTTCTGCTACTTTTGACTGTGCCTTGCATAGTACCTTCTCTGGTTCTCCTAACTTTTTATCGAGATCTTCACGGCAACGTACGACTTTCTTGCCAATCAGTAGTTGAATAAATGCATCGTCTATTTTTGGTGTATTTAAATCATACATGTCAGGAGTTCCAGTAAGACTTTGTAAATATCGTTCATGAGTTTCTAGCATTGGAACTTTGAAAGCATATGGCAACAACCTGAAACACTCAAGTTCTTTTCCTTCATAAGTTTCAGGATCCCACAATTTACTTTTAAATGGCATATTGCCCTCAAGCGGCACTTTGGTCCACCTCAGCAGCTGTTCTGAATGTTTAGCCCGGAGTTCAGCTAAATTTGGGGCACATGTTGGTGCGAAAATGTCTTCTTCAGGTGCAGTAATATTTTGCTGAATACCATGTAGCCTGTACAGAGATGCTGCAAAAGGAGGCATGCCACCGGCTGTTGGATCCCAGTCTGGAAACTGTAATGACAAACCAATAAAAATGTTACTAATCATTCACTCTCTACTATTGACTATTAGTTTAAAATAACATGGTGCCAATGGACAACATAACAAGTGAAAATTACAGAGCTATGATATTGCACATGTAAGAGTATTATTCTCCTTGGTGGCTTTCAGTCTGATGGAAAACATTCTGCATTTTTCATTTAATTCATTTATGAGCTGGCAAGGTCAGCATTTATTATCCATCCCTTGTTATACTTGAGGAGACGGTGGTGAACTGCCTTCTTGAACCACTGCCATCTATGTCCATCCATTTAGGAAGCTCCAGGATTTTGACCTAGTCACATTGAAGGAACAGCAATATAGTTCTAAGTGAAGATCATGCACAGCTTGGAAGGGAAATTGCAGGTGTTGGTTCTCCTAGCCATTGACTGTCTTTGTTCGTCTTGGTGTTAGAGGCTATGGGTTTAAAACGTGCTTTCAAAGAAGCCTTTTCGAGTATGAGAAAAAAAAGCTTTGTTTTGGTTTTAGAGATAACAAGGTGTAATGCTGGATGAACACAGCAGGCCAAGCAGCATCAGAGGTGCAGGAAGGCTGACGTTTCGGGCCTAGACCCTTCTTCAGAAATCTTCATTTTGTTTCGTTTCCCAAACAGGGTTTTAACTCAAGCTACAATTATGCTTTTTCCACTGGCTGCTATTGGCAATAAAATGTTAAATCCTCATAGGTCCACATCAATAATATATCAAAGCTGAAACTGCAACATTAAACACATGCTTCATTTAGTCTTTTGAATAAAAAAACAACTTGGTTCTTTTCCCGCCTACCATTTAAGTGATACAAATACTAACCATTGATACAAATACTAGAACACCAATTTTCACAGTTAAGGGCTTTGGGGAAGCACAAGGATAGGGGAACAAGTGGGTGTGGTTCACGGACTGGGTTCTAGATTTCCTTGTGATATCCAGAGAAGCATTCCTGCTTTATAAGGAAACGTAAACTAATCAGCCATCTTCTGGGCTTGTTTCTACTTTGTCTCAGGCTCCTCCAGCAAGGTGATTGTGAACGGCAAACACGCAACCATGTCTTAAAAATCATATTGAGCCCTATTTACATCATGGACCCAGTGTCACAAATTTGAGAGACCCTAACCTGCCTCCAGCAAAAGAATCATGGCTATGATGGTGGTAAAATATAGAATATTGATTTTCACATTCCATTGTCTGACTATAAGATCCAGGACTTTTACGTTAAGTGATTTCAAAAAAGGACAAAAACACCGATTTAAAATTGTCACAGTAATTGCCAAATTTCATGAAACCAAAGTGGAATCAAAGCAATCAAAACTAACATTAACATTGTATCAAAAATAATTAAACTAGCCATCCGAACCTAACTTTCTTTGTGATTTATACCTTTTTGGTATGTTGGAGATGAAAACATCATCTGCAGTTATCAAGCTCGAAGGCAAAGAAGTCAGACACTGAAATACACTAATACTTTTAAGAAGCTCCCTTTTGACAGAACAAATGAGAGGTGGACTTTTAACTATAGAGCGGAACTAGCTAGAGATCTCTCTCTGCTTCTCGAGAAGGAAAAATGCCCAGTGACCATGCTAATTGGAGAGAAATGTTAGGATACTGAGAATTTAAAAAGATATCTGCAATATTCACAATCGCTGTTGATCTAGGCACCCCAACCAACCATGGTCTTAGCTTAAAACCTTAAACCTCAAATTACCCTAAGGACTCGGCTAGGTGGATTGGCCATGCTAAATTGCCCGTAGTGTTCAGGGAGGCGTAGATTAGGTGGGTTATAGGGGGATGGGTCTGGGTGGGATGCTCCAAGGGTCAGTGTGAACTTGTTGGGCCTGTTTCCACGCTGTAGGGGTTCTATGATTCTTTGATGATTGACTCTAAACTCTGCATTCCTTTATTTTCCATTAGTACTGGACACTAGCTCCTTTTAAATTTTTGTATGTGCATGAGTGTAAATGCCTGTGTGATTTCACGAAGGCGGCACAGCAATAAAGTCGCAACTTTATTTTTTCTCATGATTAGCAGGTAATAAAATTGTTCTTTTACTCAACAAAACCTTGTGAATGCTCCTCATTGCTACAGCGAAAACTAGCTAACTACATATCAACTGAGAAGAGATATGGCTGTATGCAAACTTTTTTTAAAACATTTGACGTGGTCAACCAGAGAGATTGAAAAGAGGGGAGCCATTTTACCACTCCTCACCTTGTCAATTGTAACCAAATGTTCAGTAATCTTTAAGCATAGAGGGTTAAATCTGAAGCAAAAACAGAAATTGCTGGTGAACTCAGCAGATCTGATAGCATCTGTGGGAAGAAAACAGAGTTAATGTTTTGAGTCTGGTGACTCTCCTTCAGAACAAGGACCAAACGATAACAATTAACAATGTAATGTAACATTCATTTGACAGCCACTTTGTCCTTATTATTAGTATTATGAACAAAGGAGAAATGTGTTTCGAGTAAGTGAGGGTGTAATTAACACTGGGTTGACTGTTCTTATACATACCTTCACATTCAGCTTCTTGTATTTCTGGCACATTTCCACTCTGATGATGTTGCCTTGAATAACAGGTGGTTTTGTTTGGTAAAACTTCACCATGGCTTGAGCTTCTGCACTTTGGGACATCTCCACAAATCCCTTAAAAACACACATTAAATTTATGGCATATCAGCATTGCCAAGATTACATAATAATACAGAAAAAGTTAATTCAAACACAATAAATCACTGCCACTGCAAAGAATAATAGTGTAGGTTAATAAATTGTGATTTAATCAAGGGTTATATGATCAAGGAATAGATTGTCTTTGCGTAGCAGTTTGTTTCAAGCTAGCAAACCCAAGAAATTTCTCCAAAAATCAGTCTGTGCTCAAGGATAGGTGCTAGACTGAATTTAGGAGATTGCCTATATTAGCTCTCAGTGCTTGTCGTATCATCAAAGAAGCAAAAATTGACTTGAACTGACTTATTGATTTTATATTATTCTCCACTGGAGGAAAAGGCTGCTGAGTACTACACCTAAAAATATAACATTATCCAAAGCTGGAACATTCTTTGAATATTTGTCATCCATCCCCAATTGTCCTTGAACTAAGTGTTTTGTTTCGTCATTTCAGAGGGTAGTTAAGACTGACCAAATTACTATAAGAACAGAATCACATGAATGCCAAACCAAGGAAGGACATTAATTTTGGGTCAAGTAACCCTTCTTCCAACTTAACTAATCAAACTGATTAAACAGTCACACCCATGTGCTGTTCAGCTACCAGGGGGCCAATCCCATGGTTGTGGATGGGCAGAAGGCCTTTGTCATTAGCAACTAGTCACCAGTCCAGAGACGAACCAGTTACTTGTTGCTAGTTGACTCTCCATTCCTATACTCCCACTTGCTCCAGCTTGTCTGTAGTAACCTCTCCCATTACTTGAACAAACAACTGTGTAAACTGCACTTACAAGTGTCAGATAACTTTCTTTTAAAAAGAGATGTAATCCTTTCCAAAATCCTTGTTTTCTAAAATAGCTATTTTCCCATTGCAGCCACAATCAAAAATACAGAAAAATTAGAAGATACAGTATTTCAGTCTTCCAACTTAAAGGCCAGAAATGTTAACTCTGCTTTTTATGTACAGGACACACTTGGGCAATTTTCCACATTGTCGGGTAAATACTAGTGTTGTAACTGTACTGGAACAGCTTGGCTAGGGGAGCAGCAAATTCTGGAGCACAAGTCTTTAATACTATTGCCGGAATGTTGTCAGGGCCCATAGCCTTTGCAGTATCCAGTGTCTCCAACCAGTTCTTGATATCACGTGGAGTGAATTGAATTGGCTGAAGACTGGTATCTGTAATGCTGGGGACCACTGGAGAAGGCTGAGATGGATCATCCACTCAGCACTCTGGGCTGAAGACTGCTGCGAAAGCTTCAGCCTTATCTTTTGCACTGATGTGTTGGGCTCTTCAGTCATTGAGGATGGGGATATTTATGGAGCCTCCTCCTCCAGTGAGTTGTTTAATTGTCCACCATCATTCACGACTGGATGTGGCAGGACTGCAGAGCTTAGATCTGATCCATTGGTTGTGGGATCGCTTAGCTCTGTCTATCACTTGTTGCTGATGCTGTTTGGTGTGCAAGTAGTCCTGTTCAGTGACTTGACCAGGTTGACACCTCATCTTCAGGTATGCCCAGTGCTGCTCCTGCCATACCCTCCCGCACTCCCCACTGAACCAGGGTTGTTACCCTGGCTTGATGGTAATGGTTGAATGGGGGATATTCTTGGCCATGAGGTTACAGATTGTGCTGGAGTATAATTCTGCTGCTGTTGATGGCCCACAGCGCCTCATGGATGCCCAGACTTGAGTTGCTAGATCTATGTGAAGTCTGTCCCATTTAGCACAGTGATAGTGCCACACAAAGCAATGGAGGTTATTCTCAATGTGAAGGCTAGGCTTCGTCTCCACAAGGACTGTGCGATGGTCAATCTTACCGATACTGTCATGGACAGGTGCAACTGCAGCTGGCAGATTGGTAAGGATGAGGTCGAGTATGTTTTTCCATCTTGTTGGTTCCCTCAACACCTGCTGCAGACCCAGTCCAGCAGCGATATCCTTTAGGACCGGACCAGTTTGATCAGTAGTACTGCTGCCGAGCCACTCTTGGTGGTGGACAATGAAATCCCCCACCCAGAGTACATTTTGTGCCCTTGCCATCCTCAGTGCTTCCTCCAAGTGTTGCTCAACATGGAGGAGTACCAATTCATCAGCTGAAGGAGGATGGTATGTGGTAATCAGCAAGAGGTTCCCTTGCCCATGTTTAACCTGAAGCCATGAGATGTCATGGGGTTCGAAGCCAATGTTGAGGACTTCCATGGCAACGACCTCCCGACTCTATATCACTGTACCACCACCTCTGCTGGGTCCATCCTAACCGTGGGACAGGGCATATCCGGGGATGGTGATGGTGGTGTCTGGGACATTGTCTGTAAGGCATGATTCTGTGAGTATGACTATGTCAGGCTGTTCTTTAATTAGGCTGTGAGACAGCTTTCCCAAGTTTGACACTAGCCCCCAGATATTAGTGAGGAGGATTTTGCAGGGTTAACAGGACTGTTTCTGCCGTTATCTTTTCCAGTGCCTCAGTCGATACCAAGTGATCTGTGCGGTTTCATTTCTTTGAGACTTTGTAGCAATTGGTACAACTGAACGGCTTGCTCGGCGATTTCAGAGGGCAACTGAGAGTCAACCACATTGCTGTGGGTTTGGAGTCACATGTAGACCAGGCCAGGTGAGGATGGCAGATTTCCTTCCCTGAAGGACATTAGTGTGGAATTCTCTACCACATAGGCTGTGGAGTCCAAGTATATTCAAGAAAACGATAGATTTTTTTTTAGATTTCAAAGGCATCAAAAAGTTTTAAAGGGAGAAGGTGGGAACATGGATTTGAGACAGAGGATCAGCTATGATCATATTCAATGGTGGAAAGGACTCGAAAGGCTGAATGGCCTACTCGTTGTCACTATGTTTCTCGAAGCCATTGGATCTCTGAAAAAGTTGTTCTTTTCTCTGCAAGCCACAAAAAAGCCAGTTTATTTCCCCTCATCAGTTGCTGTAAACAGTGGCTTTTGATTAATAAATCAGAGACTTTATATAAGTTTGAACCAGTCGCTCTGTGCCTCCTGCATGCAAATGAAAATACCTGGAGAGAAGATAGAGGAGCAGCAAATCCTTACAAGCAAAAGGATCATCTTAGCAAATCCCGAGGACAGGGACCATCGAATAACCTCCCCAGATTTTCTTTCTGCCCATAACACCAATAGATTTTTTTCTCCACCTGTATGTTTGTGTTGGGGGAGTTCTGTAAGGCATTAGAGGTTTAACTGGTAGAGTTATGTCAACAGTTCATAATTGTTTACCTGCCGCTAGAATCTATTTATTCGTAATAAAAAGTAATTCTTGTTAAGTACAGAAACCTGATCCATGCTTTCTGTCAAACTGGATCTAAAAGACAGGCAGATCAGAGGATTTTATGTACTTTTATACGATCAAAATCTTTCCCTTTTGTGAAATCCCAGGAATAGTAGGGCTTAACTTCCAGCTTGCTACTCCAGCAAGGCATAACAAGAGCGGGTATCACCACATTCCTGTGCTGCAGTGAGACCTGAACTGTCTTTCAGTGATACATAAGAATGCTAGAGAATTTCCACCAACAATAACTGACACATTCTCTGGATTCAATGGGAGGACAGCCAAACAAAAACTAGTGTCCTCCTTGAAGCCAACTCCACAGGTGTTAAGACTCATGGAAAATCATCTACGATAGACTGGATACTGTGTCCAGATAGCCTCCCTTTCAGATCCCGGATCAATGTTTTAGTCGTCTCTCAAATGGCCATTGTTCTAGGGAGGACAAAGAAACTGTTAAAAAGGCATTCTGAAGCTCTTCTTGAAGTGCATCACACTTTGAATCCAAACACCTTTATGACGAGACAGAGCAGCACCAGAGAAGGAAAGAAACAGAAGCAAATCCTGCACTCTGGATAATCCTGTTCAGTCACATGAAGTATCACAGCGGAAATGTGCAACCCTAAGTCAACATCATCCTAGAATCGAGGGACACCTATAACGATTCTGCTTGCCATTATGACTGTTAAGCTCACATGATAATTAGATCTTAGCATCTGTGCAGCAATCATCTTACTATCATCCGGATGTTCAGTAAATTAATGCAACCTTACAGTAATCATATTTGATATTCTGTGTTTTCAAACATAGAAGATAGGAGCAGGAGGCGGCCATTCGGCCCCTCCCTGCTCCGCCATTCATCCCAATCATGGCTGCTTGTCCAACTCAATAGCCTAATCCTGCTTTCTCCCCATAACCTTTGATCCCATTTGCCCCAACTGCTATATCTAGGTGCCTCTTAAATACATTCAATGTTTTGACATCAACTACTTCCTGTGGCAATGAATTCCACAGGCTCACCACACTTTGGTGAAGAAATGTCTCCCCATCTCTATGAACATGTATCCCAGATGGATTTCCCTTATTCACCAATTATTCTGAAACAGTACAAGACAGGGAAGGAGGAAGACACAGACAACAGACTTTTCTAACTAGTTAGGTCTCAATTTACAGTAGCCATTAATGTATGATTTCTCTGATTAGTTTATAAGTTCAAAAATTAGAAGACAGGATCTGCACATTACAGCAATGAAACAGTTGGTCTTTTCTAGCCAAGTCCATGATGTTGCACTTTCCCAAATCAATGAAACTATTTAGGGACATATTGTAGCCTATAAGCTAATATAGTGACAAAGGTTGCTGAGGGACCTCATGCCACACTATAGTTAGCCAGAATTTGCATGGTGAGCTTCCAGCTCATTGTACTATCTAAAATGTCTAAACAGGTATAGTTTGTGCAATTTATTTCCTGATCTTTATGAGCTTATCCTCCTGATATGTGGCAGCTATAGAATGAAGCTGTTTCTGTACAGCTATAACACTGGTACCTATCAAACATGGCAAATTGTCCAGATATGTCCTCAACACAAAAAAAGTCAAATCCAATCCCCCAATTATGGTCTGATCAGTCTGCTCTCAATCATCAGTATGGAATATGACTTTGACAATTCCATCAAACAGCACCTAGTCAGAAATAACTTGTTGAACCATGCTTGGTTTGTGTTTCACCAGGTTCACTTAGCTTCAGACCTCAACACAACCTCGGTCTAAATATGAACAAAGTCAGTTCCAGAAGCGAGGTGAAAGCAACAACCCATAACTGATCAAGGTAATATTTAACCAAATGTGACATCAAGGAACCAAATATTCTACTCCCCCACCCTACTGATACACGGGTGCTGAAATGTACTAGTTAGTTTGGGAAGCATTATTTTCAATTATTGCGTATGTATAAAGTATATACATTACATAATGTTATATAGTAAGTGTAAGTATATATAGAAAGTAAGCATATATACAAGTATATATAGAAAGTAACACAAAGAAAATTGAAGTCAATGAAAATCACAGAGGTGAACCTTTCCATTAGTTGGAGTTTGTCTGGCACAAAAGATGTTGTTGTGGTAATTGGAAGTTAAACATCACAATTCCAGGACATTACTGCAGGTATTCCTCAGCAGAACTCTAGGCCTAAAAACTTCAGCTGTTTTGTCAATAACCTTCCCCTCAAACATAAGATCTGAAGTAAGGATGTCTACTGATGATTGCAGTGTCTAGCACAATTCACAATTCCTCACATACTGAAGAAATCCATGCCTGCATGCAGCAAGACTGGGCAACATTCAGTTTTGGGCTAATAAGTGGCATGTCACATTTACCCTGCACAAGTGCCAAGAAATTAACATTTCAAGCAACAGAAAATATAACCATTTCCCCTTTTGGTTCAAAAGTTCACTAATTCTCAATCCCACATCTTCAACATCTTGCGGGCCTGCCACTGACCAAAAACTCCAATGACCAGACTTATAAATGCTATGGCTAAAGAAGTCACTCAAAGGTTGCAAATTCTGCAGTGAATAACTAACTCCCTCCTGTCCGTTCACCACCTACAAGGCACAAGTTAGAACTGTGATGAAAATACTCTCCACTTCCTCAATGCTTGCTGCTCCAATAACACTCAGGAAGCTCAATACCATCCATCCCACAAAGAGCCCACTTGATCAGTACCCTATCTACAATCTTAAATATTTACATCCTCCACCAGCAGCACACACTACCAATCAGCTACTGAATACACAGCAGCAAACTCACTTGGCAGCATTTCCCAAATTCACAACCTCTACCACCTAGAAGGGTGAGGTTCATGGGAACACCACCAGCTGCAAATATCTGTCAAAGCCACATATCATCCTAACTTGGAAACTATATAATTGTTCCTTCAATCTCACTAGGTCAAAACATGCAACTCCCTTTCTAACAATCCTATGCATTCAACTGAATCACACAGACTGCAACAATTCAAAAATTAAATTGCTCATCATTTTCTCATTGCCAATTAGGATCGGGAAATAAATGTCAGCTTCACCAGCAAAGCTCACAACGCATGAATGAAAAAATAATCACACTTCCATTCACTAATGAGATTCAAACTGATTCCAGTTTAATCAATAATGTGCTTACCTCACCCTTCGCTTTGATCAGAAAGGTGTTATTAATCTTCCCAAAAAGCTCTGCAAGGTGGATTAAATCATTTTTTGTGCATTTGCCTGGTACCATGTCAGCGATGTAAACAACTTGTCCAGGCTCTTCCTTCGCATCCTAGAGACAAAGAGAATATCCTATAGTTAAAAGGATATCATCATAATACAATACTATGCTGAATACATACAGTGCTCTGCACAATGCCAGTAGAGGACACCACAGTGCTGAAATTCCACTGCATAACATGGGTAGATTCTGTTTTTCATGTTTACAATTATTGATATCTTCTGCATCCAATTATTTTTACAAACATTTTGACTTATGAAATTCATATCTGAATCATTCCTAGGAGGGTTGCATGCACTATTTCAGTCGTTAACCAAATATTCTACTCCCCTACCCTACTGATACACAGGTGCTGAAATGTACTAGTTAGTTTGGGAAGCATTATTTTCAATTATTGCGTATGTATAAAGTATATACATTACATAATGTTATATAGTAAGTGTAAGTATATATAGAGAAAGTAAGCATATATAGTAGTATATATAGAAAGTACCACAAAGAAAATAAATTGCATTTGTGAGAATAGTAGATAAATGCATAAAGTGAAGGCAAGGTTTGACACCTTTGCATCTTATTTGAATGCTGCATTGTACTTGCAGTCAGAGGTAATTATCACTATGTTATAACTTTTGTAGTGTATTAATGCAGGGAAAAGGGACCATCAAGCAGATGCTCATTGAGTAAGCACATTAGATATAATCAGATACATCTGCAAGACAATCTCTGTGATTTATGGGGGAGAAAATCTCAAGAAGAGAGTGGTAACCATGGAAATGTCAATCAGTAAACAGCAGCAAATTTACAATTCACTCCAAATGCAAAGGTTCTGAAACAAAGCAGTCTCCAAAGAGCTTGCCCGGTACTAATGGCACCTTTGGGACTAAGGAGAAATGACTGAATCTTCCGAGTAATCATTCGTAGAAATACTCCCAGATAGCCCAGGAAACAACCTTGGGTGAGTAATAGGTCACAGCTATAAATTCTTTTACAAATCATGTTCAATCAAGCAATTCTCAAAAGTGTAAGCATTCTCTAACTTAAGCCAGGGTCAAAGTCAAGATTGTGCATGGATTTGCTGCAGCATTTCTACCCTATGACAAGGACTATGCGTTAAATCATATTCTTGCCAAGTATTTATCTTTGCAATATCACTGTTGAATTTGCTTCCGCTACCTTTTCAGGAATGTGTTCCATATCATAATTAAAAAGAAATGTTACGTAAAATGAATGTTGCTTCATGTTATTTCTGGTTCTCTGTAAATTTGTATCCTTTGAGCAGTACTCCTTCTGCCAGTCAAAAAAGTCTCTTCATATTATATATATCTATATTCACCTTATTAAAAACTATTCAAGATTTTGAACATCTCCATCAAATCTTCTCGAACATTTTCTCTGAAGGAAATAAACTCAGACAATCATTCAACATTGCAGCCTCCTGCTTACACTTCCGCCTCTGGCATTAGACATCATTGTCTGTACTGTACCTGCTGACAGCACATCCTGGACACTGGCTCTTGGCAATCCCAAAAGCTCAAACTGTGCTCACAGCACCCAATGTCTAAAATACAAAGGGGGATGAATTCACCTCCAAAATTCCAAAAATGACCAGGAAAATCACCTTCATAAGTAAAAGAGACAAAGGCTCTCAGGACTGAAAACAAAAAAAAGCTTGGAATCACAGTAGGCCGGGCAGCATCCCTGGACAGAGCAAGCTAATGTTTCGAGTCTAGATGACTCTTCATCAGCTCTGGCTACAAACCAGGTAGGGCAAACTTGAAAGGGGAATGTGGGAAGATTGAAAGGGGAAAGAGATGGAGATTGTATTGTGTGGGTGTGGGTGCGTGCACATGGGCGTATGGGCATGTGTGCGTGTGTGTTGGGCAGGAGTGCTGTGGAGAACAGAGATACTTCAGTAGGAAGGAAGAGGGAGGCTGCAAGAAGGGGACACACAAAAGCTCGATACCTGAAACTGAGATCTGAGGTACAATAAGATGGTGGTAACTGGTAGATTAAAATGTTCTTGCTTTGTACATATGCAATGGAAATGCAGTGACCTCACTAGTTTGAAGAATGAGTAGTTTACACTGATAGCTTTTTGTGTGCAAATATGACTCAGTTACTTCACAAAAAAGACTTTTGCAAACATATACTTGTTATCCTGTACCAATTTAAATAATGGTCTCTAAGAAATTAATGATTTCTCCGTGTGTTGTGGCTTTAACTTTAATGGAGTGTTGGTATTATTGATGAATTCTTCTAATTTTGTTGAGAGTTCAAATATTTCATTTATGAACACAAATTCAAAAGGTATAATTCCTATGTGACTGAATCAACCAATAAATGTTAGTAAGAATGAAAACGTAGCCCTAGAGAAAATTTAAAGACGAGTCCTTAAAAATAATTCTGTGCCTCACTGCGTCATATTTGAGTAGACAGTAAATGTTTTACTTAATTTCATGAAAAGTGCAGACATAAAAAAATCCCTAAAGAATAAAATTGTGTGTATTTTGCTGCTGCACAGAGTAGAAGAAGTTATCAGCCTTATATGGATAACATTACATACTTTTTTCTGCAGAACTGAGGTAACTTCTACACGTTGTTATACAAGTGAGAAATGATATTTTCTTGGTTATACCTGGTTCACAGGCCTCATCATGGGGTAATTCTGAACTTTTCCAAATTTAGCACCAAGTTTTCCAATAGCAACTTTTGAATACCCACTGTGAGGCAAGTTTACATGTGATGTTGTCTGTTTCTCTGGACATGGTTCTTTTTGTTTCTAGATTGAAAGAGAAGAAAATATATTAGAGTCACATATCGCATTTTAATGTCAAATCTTTTTGTCTTACCACATACACATTACATGGAGTACGTTTTTCTGAGCTGATGATTGCATATTGTTAATGTACTAATCCAAAGGGAGCATCGTTCTGCTATATCCGACTTGTGTACAGGTGAGATACCAAGGTGTAGAGCTGGATGAACACAGCAGGCCAAACAGCATCAAAGGAGCAGGAAGGCTGACGTTTCGGGCCTAGACCCTTCTTCAGACCCTTTTTCTGAAGAAG